AGGTAAATGGTTGATTTTAAAACTTTTCGACGTTTGTAATCTAAGTGAGGATGGCTTTTTACTGTAAGAAGTTAATGTTAAGTTTAGGATAAGACTTTATTCGTTTTGGGTAAGAGTTTTTAGAGTCAGGTAAAGGGCTTTGATTTTAGAGCGTTAGTTAGCGTTAGGGTTAATTTTTAAACGCAAGGTCCAGGGTTAGGTGTTTACGGTTAGTTTTAGTGTATGGGATTTAAAATAAGGACAAGAGTGTTCACGTCAGGGTTAATATTAGGGTTTTAGGATTTGGGGTTTAAATATTAACTGTAAGGGTCAGCATTAGCTTACGAATACACATATACAGTGAGTATATGCGACCCAATTCAACCCAATGAACTAACTAAACAACCGCAAGTGTGCGTTAAATCCTCCAATCCCCAACCTTGCATCAGATATGCAATCTACTGTAAGTTGGCCTAGGCTAAATGTCACTGGGACCGATCATGGTCAGCTCACGAAGACATGCATAACGGCCACAAGTCTGTTATGCCTAAGTTTCATTTGTTTTTTTCTTTGTGGATAGACACAGTAGATGCTAGTACCCCTGAAAAACGTCACAATTTACGAGAGATCGATGATAGCACGCCAACCGGCACCAACGCACGTACCACGGCTTCAAATTACAATACAAAACACTGTGTGAATTTAAAATTTAAATCATATATGAAAATTAGCGCTCCTTGATTGGGGAATACCAAATTTTCACAAAAGGGGTAAATTTCGGAAACTCTAAAAATCGCTGTAGGTGTGAATTGCGAAGGTAAATATATTGGTCTGTTGAAATCATGTGCATACCCATTAGTATTTATTGCGAAAAACTCCATTTTGCTAAATTTAATTATAGGCATTTCCGATTGCAATTAGTTTCGTATCGTCTTCGAAATATCAGCGAATACCTCACGATATGGTGGACCTTAAAACTGTAGAAATCGAAGTTTACGTAAGGTGTCAAGTCCACCAATCTTTTTCTGCGCATTGTCAGTTTACAGTGTAATTCTCCGGACAGGATTAATTGGTGGCCATGTGGAAATCTTGACCACTTAATTTTCAATAGTGGAAGAAATCTGAAAATATGTCAGTCTAATAGTTTGTGTTTTAATATAGCATCACGGCATTTGCAATACATAACCTTTATTCTCTATCTATCAGAGTTCCAGGCTACTTTTCTGTGCTCACTAGAAGTTCTGGACAGCTTAGATCCCGATTCCTAATTTTCTATAAGCTGTTGACTCTTTTGTAACTCTTTTCTCAATTAATTTTTTTATTTCTTGGTTGTTGGCATCGATGTTTTCTGCTTTTATGCTCTCACCTTTTCAATTTACGTCCTCATTACACGATTTTACAGCAACATTTTGTCACCCTGATAATCACAACGCCTTATTTTACAGGGGAATTTCTATTAGGAACTTCAGTGCGTACAGTGTGTTTCATACAAGCATGGATGCAAACATATACTTGTGAGTCTTATAATACTGGTAATTTCTAAGTCATTACTGTAACTGACTGACGGGATGAGTGTGGTGTTTCCATAACAGTGACCTTCCCGTGCTTTGCGAATTTGCTTATTTCTACCACAGGTGGACTAATAAAATACGCATTTGTAAATTCGAAAGGTATTTAAAGCAAAAATGGTCTACTGTTTGAATTATATTAAAGAAGTCAAGATATCTAGTTAGGGGGGAAATTTTTACATCCAATTCTGAGCATTGGTGAAATAAATCACGCGTGAAAACAGATGCATCTGTTTTCACGCGTGATTTCTGTTCATTTTTGCTACTTCTAATAATTTGAATAGTGTACATAATGAGGAAAGACGCCTATTATTATTAAAAAGCGCATCATTGTCTTTGTTGTTTGCACTGAGCGCTAAGGTGTATATTAAATAGATTTCAGATATATAGGAAATTTAGATATCCACATCTTCTGTGGTAATGTCACTTTTATCAAAGGCGCTGTTCTGAAGGTCCTTAGGTACCTTGAAAGCCTGATTTCTCGTAAGCAAGAGTAAATAGATAAATTAGACCAGTCCTCTTTTTGTAGACACAAAGTGTGAAATACGAGGCTGATTTTGACCACTAGTGCAGTGTACATTATAATCTTGGCCACCTAGCTAGCTGAATTTCATGTTCATGCTGTCTTTACCTTCGTGCTTCCAGGATTTAACTATTTTTAATTCCTGCAAACTTTCTTGGATTGATTTACCTTTATTACGTATGCTGTTTGGCCGTCCTTATTCATAAGGATTATGGCATCGATGGTGCGGCAAACACGAAAAAGTGGCGTATGGTTATAGGGGAATCTTTTTTGTACTAACCTTACTTTCCGTTCACGCTCGAGCTCAACTTGTATGATCAAGAAGTGTAAATGCCGAGCAATCAAACACAAGATATATTCTATGCATTTCATGAGTGTTCCACCCTTATAGCGAGCTGTGTTGCAGATGCATTTATTAGAATTCGGTTAACATTAAACGGGTTATACTTATTGTTATACATGCGTCTGGCATGCTCTGTATGTAAGTTGTGTCAGTCACAGTCTCGTCGCTTCGGGAAAGATCAAAACGAAAGTAGGGAGAGCACCATGTAATATAACGCACTTGAGTCTCTCACGGCATTATAAGCGTCGTCGCTTGAAAGATTTCTAACCCACGAGGCTAATTTGGCGTTCATAGGAGTACTTTGTACTTATGGGAGAACTTTAGTTAAGATCGTAATGGCCCCTTCATAATGCGGATTTCATGGGACTAACGATGAGAGATTCCAACCTCCCTTATGTAAATCTAGTACACGCTTTGCAAACCAAAACTTTTTCACCCCTTGCGTTTGCGTTCGCTTGTGGACGTCTTGTCGGCTTCTCGGGCGAGTTGGATGCTCCAGAAGAGAATGTGGTGGCTGCTGCCCAGGCTTGCCTAACTATAAATAATTCCGTCGAAATTCGCTAACTTTGCACCGACTGCGCGGAGTACATTTTGTACAGCAGCCCGGGTGACAGTTAGACTATCGTATACCATCAAAGCCATGCGAATGTAATTCATTCACTTGGATTTTCAATCAATCGGAGATCGCTAGCAACTCTGTCGAGGAGGAATATTTAAAGTCAAATTCTTGGCTCTAAGCATTGCGTTATCCTGCCAAATGAACGTTTGTCATGGTACGGTCGACTAAATGGCGAAAATCTTGTCAGCTCTAGTGTTTTTTGGAAGACCCTGTCCGAATAAAGTTCAACTCCAATTCCCTCCCTACGATCTACCCACAGTTATATGATTAGATAGGAAAAAATCATCCATTTTGCTTGAAAGCCTGCCCTTCTCGTATCACAAGCATTTTCCGGCACTTTTGTACCTTATTTATTTTTAAATAATTATGAAGTTTAGTTTGAAACATGTACTGTACACGGATTGATTGTGGCTAAAAAACGAAACCATAAAACGATTTTCTATTTTATACTACGATTCAGTCAGTGTCCAATGTCATCTTCTTTTTTGTTTCCATTTCAGTGCTTTGCTAAAGTAGAGCTGAACTTTCGAGAAGACATATCATGGCAGAGAGTTCGGTAAGTATATAATAAAAATACTGAAACCCTGTTCGTTTCAGGCTACAGCCACTGCTGAGCCCTCATCGGCTGTTTCGCAAAGTGGCGCAGAACCTCATCAGATGGGCACTAGTGCTCAAGCACCGCCAACACTATTAATTACGCGCTCAAAGAGCATCGTTAACACCAAAGAATCCAACACTGTTCCGGTATCCGAAGATTCATTCATTGATGATCTTCGTGCGGTTCGGCGCATCGTCGCTGAGGACAGTAAATACAATCTCGAGAATGTAAAATCACTTGTGGAGTTGGTATTGGAACACATTATCCAAAATTTTGCATGTGAGTTGTCATTTTCCAGCACCTGCTGTTTTTATATAGTTGACTAAAGACGGAATATGGTCATAGCAACTAGGCCAAAAATGTCCTCCATTAGGAATTGATTTTTGATTACACCTTACATCGACTAAAATTTCATATTTCTTCTTATTATCACCACCAAGATGCTGCGCTGTTAATCAGATAGTTTGACTTAGCTACTTGTTTGATTTGGTCATCAAAGTTTGTGATTGGCAAAAACCATGCATAAAGAACCAACGGGACGATTGAGAGTTTGATCTGTCAGTTTAGCGCCTTAACGAAAGATCTACCGGTCACAAATCAAATTTATCTTGCCTGAACTCGTTAAGTGGTTCAGCAAAAGACTTTTTTTATCTTTGATTGTACTCTATTCTTTTTATGCATCCCTTGCCAAGTCATAAGAACAATTCTCAATATAGTCTGATAGGCGAGGCATTTGAGTAGTATGAAAAGTAAGGGTTTTGGCTCATTTTGGTTTTTGCAGCCAGACTCTTTCTCAAAAATTGCATGCTTTTACCGCACC